TCTCAGCTTCTTTATCCTTTGTGTATAGGAGGGCCACTGATTTTTTGGAGTTGATCTTGTATCCTGCCACGTTACTAAAGGTGTTTATCAGCTGTAGGAGTTCTTTGGTAGAGTTTTTGGGGTCACTTATGTACACTATCATATCGTCAGCAAATAACGAAAGTTTCACTTCATCCTTTCCAATTCGAATCCCCTTGATCTCCTTATGTTGTCTTATTGCTATTGCTAGAACTTCAAGCACTATATTGAAGAGGTATGGAGAGAGTGGACAGCCTTGTCGTGTTCCTGATTTTAGTGGAAAGGCTTTGAGTTTCTCTCCATTCAATTTGATGTTAGCTGTCGGCTTGCTGTATATTGCTTTTATTATATTTAGGTATGATCCTTGTATCCCCAGTCTCTCCAACACCTTTATCATAAATGGGTGTTGAATTTTGTCAAATGCTTTTTCAGCATTAATGAAATGATCATATGGTTTTTTTCTTTCAGTTTATTTATATGATGGATTACATTGATAGATTTGCGTATGTTGAACCAGCCCTGCATCTCTGGGATGAAGCCTACTTGATCATAATGGATAATTTTTCTAATGTGTTCCTGGATTCAGTTTGCCAGGATTTTATTGAGAATTTTCGCGTCGATGTTCATGAGTGAGATTGGCCTGTAATTCTCTTTCTTGGTTGTGTCTTTATGTGGTTTTGGTATTAAGGTTACTGTAGCTTCATAAAAGGAGTTTGGCAATGACTCTTCTGTTTCTATATTATGGAATACATTAAGGAGTATAGGAATTAGCTCTTCCTGGAAGTTCTGGTAGAATTCTGCATTGAAACCATCTGGTCCTGGGCTTTTTTTGGCAGGGAGATTTCTGATAACTGCTTCTAATTCTTCACGACTAACAGGTCTATTTAGATTGTTCACCTGTTCTTGGTTAAACTTTGGTATATGGTACTTATCTAAAAAAATGTCCATTTCTTTTACATTTTCCAACTTTGTGGCATATAAACTTTCGTAGTAAGATCTAATGATTCTCTGAATTTTCTCTGTGTCTGTGGTTATATCCCCCTTTTCATTTCTGATCCTATTAATTTGCATGTGCTCTCTCTGCCGTTTGATTAGTTTGGATAGGGGTTTGTCAATCTTGTTGATTTTCTCCAAGAACCAGCTTTTTGATTCATTGATTCTTTGGATTGTTTTCTCTGTTTCTATTTTGTTGATTTCAGCCCTCAGTTTGATTATTTCCAGTCTTCTACTCCTCCTGGGTGAATCAGCTTCTTTTTTTTTCTAGAGCTTTCAAGTGTGCAGTTAGGTCTCCAATGTGTGCTTTCTCCAATTTCTTTATTTGGGCACCTATTGCTATGAACTTTCCTCTTAGCACTGCTTTCATAGTGTCCCATAGGTTTGAGTATGTTGTGTCTTTGTTTTCAGTAAATTCAAGGAAGACTTTAATTTCTTTCTTAATTTCGTCCTTGACCCAGGGGTGATTTAGTAGTTGACTGTTCAACTTCCATGAGTTTGTTGACTTCCTGGTGGTAGCATTGTTGTTGAATTCTAATTTTAATCCATGGTGATCTGACAAGACACAGGTGGTTACTAATATTTTTTTTTGTATCTGTGGGAGTTTGCTTTGTTACCGAGTATGTGGTCAATCTTCGAGAAGGTTCCATGAACTGCAGAGAAGAAGGTATATTCTTTTCTATTTGGGTGGAGTGTTCTATAGATGTCTGTTAAGTCCATTTGATTCAATACCTCCAATAAATCTCTTAATTCTCTGTTTGGTTTCTGTCTGATTGACCTGTCCATTGGTGAGAGAGGAGTGTTGAAGTCTCCTACTATTAGTGTGTGTGGTTTGATGACTGCCTTGAGTTCTAGAAGAGTTTCTTTTACATATGTGGGTGCCTTTACATTAGGGGCATAGATATTCAGGATTGAGACTTCTTCCTGATGAGTTGTTCCTGTTATGAGTATGAAATGTCCATCTCCATCTCTTCTGATTGATTTTAGTTTGAAGTCAATTTTGTTAGATATTAGAATGGCCACACCCGCTTGTTTCTTAGGTCCATTTGCTTGGAAAACCTTTTCCCAACCCTTTACTCTGAGTAGGTGTCTGTCTTTGTGGTTGAGGTGTGTTTCTTGTAAACAGCAGAATGTTGGATCCTGTTTTCGTATCCAATCTCTAAGTCTGTGCCTCTTTATAGGTGAATTGAATCCATTGATATTAAGAGATATTAATGACCATTGGTTGTTGACTCCAGTCATTTTTTGGGGGGGTAATAGAGTGTATGTGTTTTCCTTCTTTGAATTGTGCTAGTGAAGGGTCACTAGATGTCTGAATTATTGTAGTCAGTGTTGGCAATGTTGGATTCCTTGGGATGTAATTTTCCTTCTAGTATTCTCTGTAAGGCTGGATTAGTAGTTACGTATTGTTTAAATTTGTTTTTATCCTGGAATATTTTGTTTTCTCCGTTGATAGTGAACGAAAGCTTGGCTGGGTAAAGTTGTCTGGGCTTGCATCCATGGTCCCTTAATTTCTGCAGTACCTCTATCCAGGACCTTCTGGCTTTCATGGTTTCTATAGAGAAATCTGGTGTAAGTCTGATAGGTTTACCTTTATAGGTTACTTGACCTTTTTCCTTTGCAGCTCTTAATATCCTTTCTTTAATCTGACTGCTTTGTGTTTTGATTATTATATGGCGAGGGGATGTTTTTTTCTGATCCAGTCTATTCGGTGTTCTGTATGCTTCTTGCACCTTCATAGGAATATCTCCCTTTAGGATGGGAAAATTTTCTTCTATAATTTTGTTGAATATATCTTCTGGACCTTTGATCTGCAATTCTTCTCCTTCTACTCCTATTATTCTTAGATTTGGTTTTTTATTATGTCCCATATTTCCTGAATGTTTTGTCATGAGAATTTGTTGGATTTGCTGTTTTCTTTGGTCAGGGCGTTTATTTTCTCTATGGTTTCTTCATAATCTGAGATTCGTTCTTCTATCTCTTGTATTCTATTGGTTAAGCTTTATTCTGTAGTTTCCGTTCATTTACCTAGATTTTCCATATCCAGCCGGCCCTAGGTTTGTGTTTTCTTCACTGCCTCCATTTCAGTTTTCAATTCTTGAACTGATTCCATTACCTGTTTGATTGCTTTTTCTTGGTTTCCCAGGGTATCATCTACGAATTTACTCATTTCTTCAAACTTTTTGTTATATTTGTCTTCCATTTCTTTACTCATTTCTTCCATCTTTTTGGTAAATTTCTCTTCTATTTCTTTAAGAGAGTTATTCATAACCTGTTTAAGAGACTCTATTGCTTTCATAATGACACTGTTTTCCACTTCTTCCGGAATAGGGCGTTCAAGTCCTTCTGTCATAAGGTCGCTGGGATCTGGTGTTTTCATGTTGTTTTTCAGATTGTTGGAGCAATTCTTACCTTGGCGCCTGCCCATCTCTTCCTTCAGATGCTCTCCAATGGCTCTTCCCTCTGCTGGGTCTTCTTCTACTGGATTAGTGCCCCTTGCTATCCAGGAATCACTTTGCCTGCAGCCTTAGCTTGCTGCAGGCAGGCTATTAGAACAAAGGGACTCCCGTCCCTTTGCACTCACTGCCTGCCCCGGCCAGCGGTGCCCACCCCGGCTGAGATGGAGGAATTTAAGCCCCGAAAAAGGGAGAGAGGAGGGGAGGGTTTCGAGGCCGAAAGCTTGGATGGCGTAGCAGGAGAGAGGGATTAGCTGGGGGAAGCTGCCCCTTTGGAGTAGCCAGGGAGATAAGGATGGCGGGAATATTGTGTGTACCTAAGCGAACTAGTATGGCGGTCAACACACAGGATCAGAGCCCCTCGCTGGTCAGAAGACTCCCTGCCTGCGGTCTTAGCTTGCTGCAGGCTGGCTATCAGAACCGGGTTCACTTTCTTATTTAGCTTCTCTAGGATAACGAATTATAGGCTCAATGTCCTTTATTTATGGCTAGAATCCACTAATGCGTGAGTACATTCCATATTCATCTTTTGGGGTCTGGGTTATCTCACTCAGTAAAGTGTTTTCTATTTCCATCCATTTGCATGCAAAATTCAAGATGTCATTGTTTTTTACTGCTGAGTAAAACTCTAAAGTGTATATTTTCCACACCTTCCTTATCCATTCTTCTATTGAGGGGAACCTAGGTTGTTTCCAGGTTCTAGCTATTACAAATAGTGCTGCTATGAACATAGTTGAACAAACGTTTTTGTCCTAGACCTAGCACCATGCTTGGCAGATACATTTCTGTATTTCTTCCCACGTCAGAGAGTTTGCATCAGTGCCCTTAACTTTGTTTCCCTTCCTGCAAATTGAAATGTTTTCCCTCCCAGGTGAGAGAAGGTAAATTGGTTTGGCCTGAGTTCCAGGAGAGAAGGGGTAGATTGATCGGGATTGGCTGCCAGGTGCAGTAAGTTACCACTGGTGCTTTCAAGATACAGTTCCTGTTGCCTTTCCCTTGGAATAGTAAGGCTTTTCCTACAGGAAAATGGAGCAAATTTTCTGGGCAGAATTTGAGCAATGGTTATTGTTCTTTTCACCTTCCCAAGACAAAATTATCAATACTTTTCCCAGGATTTTTCTTAATCTTCTCTACCAGCAGCTGGAGGAAAATTGAAAAATATGGAAAGCTATCTGTCTGCAGTCCTTGTGAACATCACATTGGCCCACAGCCAGTGTTAGCAATTCAGTAGTCATTTTTATCTGTACCTTTTTATGAGTTTGTATGTTGTTCAGCACTGTCTTGTATGAACTACAAAATGCCAGAGTTCTATTGCCCTCTGCAGATGCCTGTTCTTACAAGTTTAAATTGGCTGTCTGCACTGCAACCTCAATTTTCTGATGATTCTAAGAAAAGATGGGATGCACATTTAACCCCCTCTCTTTCTCTCATAATGTTGGAAGTAGTGTGGTTTCCAACTCTACATCTCTAAGCTAATGGCAGAAGATCCTCTAAGTGTAGGGATAAGCTTTTGAAGATCTGTCTATCTTCCAGCATCCGTACCACAGTTCACCAATTCCCCTACAATGATGATCATGGTGGGTTTACCAGCTCGAGGCAAGACCTACATCTCAACGAAGCTCACACGATATCTCAACTGGATAGGAACACCAACTAAAGGTATGTCTCAAAATAATTTACTATACATCCCCACCACAGGCCACTAAATGAAAACTGAGGAAAAAAGAAGGCCAAACCATTCAGTACAGAAAATGCTGCACACCGCTGTTTCCAGGATTAGACCCTCTTCTACTACTGCTATTACCACTGTCACAGTGGTCTTACATAGGGCTGGAGAGATGGCTCGGCAGTTAAGACCACTGACTGCTCTTCCAGAGGTCCTGAGTTCAATTCCCAGCAACCACATGGTGGCTCACAACCACCTATAATGAGATCTGGTGCCCTCGCCTGGCCTACAGGCAGGATACTTTATAAATAAATAAATAAATCTTTAAAAAAAATAAAAACAATGGTCTTACATATTATATCATTTCATGAGACTGTGTTCTGTGCCTAATGGCATGCTGGGTTTTAGGCATAAAACAACTAGTATTAAGCCTAAATCGGCTCTTAAGAAGGCACACAAACTCAAACCAGTCCTCTGAATACTGCAAGGACTTTTTATCACAACTACATTGACCCATCAGTAATGCTATTTTTTATGTTCATTAGTGTTTTGCATGGTTATTGGGTCCCCTGGAGCTGGAGTTAGAGTTGCGAGCTTCTATGTCAGTGCTAGGAATTAAACCTGGGTCCTCTGGAAGAACAGTCAGTGGTCTTCACCATTGAGCTATCTCTCGAGGCCCCAATAACACTATTTTTATCATTTTAATTTTTTACTATTTCATAGTCAGAAAATAAATCCAAAGAGGTGAAATACGCTCTTTTTTCATACCTCTGGACACAGAAACCAGGGTATGATTAATTTCAATCTGACATTCTCTGCTAGGTCTAATGCATGGCTATATTGAAGGGAAGAGAAAGGGACCCTGTACTCTCTCTCTCTTTTCATCCATTATTTCTCTCTAATCCTTTGTCTTGTTTAACCCAACATTGCATCTACTCTGTTCTGTCCAATCCCCCTTCCCTCATTCCCATCAAATCTTCTAATTCTTCTCTCTTTTGCGTGTAAGGGATTGTAAGTGGAAGTTTCTGTCTCTCCCAGTCCCACAGCCATTCAGTCCTAAAGAAGCACACTAAACTGTTTGGTCTATTAGCTCAGGCTTATTGTTAACTAGTTCTTACAACTTAAATTAACCCATAATTCTTATCTGTGTTTAGCCACATGTCTCAGTACCTTTCTCAGTGCAGCATTCTCATGTTGCTTCCTCTGTGTCTGACTGGTGACTTACTCTCTGCTTTCCTCTTCCCATAATTCTCCTTGTTTGGTTACCTTGCCTATACTTCCTGCCTGGCTACTGGCCTATCAGCATTTTATTAAACCAATATGAGTAACAAATCTTTACGGTGTACAAGAGCATTGTCCCACAGCAAGGGATTGAACCCAGAGCTTTGTTTATAATAAACAAAGCATATATTCTGCTACCAAGTTACACCTGGTGCCAAATCTTCTCTTCCCCACCCAACCACATTTATCCTTCCTTGCACTTCATCCACTTTCTCTAATTAATTCACTAAAGTTTCCCAAGTGCCAAAGCCCATGCCAAGCATTAGGAAAGAAATAAAAATGAATGAGACTCAAGGCCTCTCCTGGAAGAATTCTAACTCTAAATGTTGTACATCACAAGACCTAGGGTGGACTAGGACTCAGACAGTATTCTGAGGGTGCTCACAGAGGAAATTTTTGACTGCCAGGTGTCAAAACCCTCATGGATAAGAATATGTCTGAGATGGGTCCTGTGGGAGGAAGGGAACATTTGGCAAGGCAAAGAAGGCAGGAAAGAGCCCCTCTCTACAGAACTGCAAGCCTGAGGAGCTTCCACTAGATTAAGAAGCACATGGCATAGTAGCAGATGTGTCTTGATCCCACTTTTATTCTGTTTATTCAACTTTATACCTGTAGTCTCTAAGGGTTTCCTTGATCTAAAGTTTTGAACCCAAGCCCCTTTATTTCAAGATCCATCCACAGCTGACTTATTCTAGCTTTTCAAGCCCCAGCACTAGTGGTTTACCCCTTTCCCCAAAACATACTTTGCTTTCTGCAGATGTTATACCTTTGTTCAAGGAGTGTCTACGTACTTGTAGTCTACCTACAGTGCCCTTGCTCCCCACCCTCACCCTCATACTCACTAGTAAAAGATACCTACCCTAAAAGGACTTGTTCAAATTTTTCTTTTTCTAAGATACTCTAAGCTAACCCAAAATGTAACTTTTTCCTTCCCTCACTCTTATGCTTAGTTCAATATTGTCTCTGTTGGAGCACTTAAAGGATTCTGTAGGAGCTCCATTGTCACCTGATTTGGTTGCTGTCTGATTTTGTAGTTTATGAACTTCTTGAGAGCTCCATCACAAAATCTAGATGTGTATGTTTGTGCATGTATCCCAGAACTCATATCTCACTTTATAGAGTCAGTATCTGACTTAGTCACTGTTCTATTGCTGTGAAGAGACACAATGCCCATGACAAATTTTATAAGAGAAATCATTTAATTGGGGACTTGCTTATAATTTCAGAGGCTTAGTTCATTATCATCATGGCAGGAAGCATGTCAGCATACAGGCAGACATGGCAATGGAGAAGTAGCTGAGAGTTCTACATTTTGATCCACAGGCACAGAGATAGAGAGAGACACTGGGCCTGGCTTAGGTTTTGAACCCTCAAAGCCCACCTCAGTAACACACTTCTTCCAACAAGGCCATACTTACTCCAACAAAACCCAGTTCCTAATCCTTCTCAAGTAGTGCCTAATGCCACTCCCTGATGACTAAACATCCAGATATATGAGCTTATGTGGCCTATTCTTATTCATATCACCACATTCCATTCCCAGGTCCCCATAGCCTTGTAGACATATAATAATACAAAAATGCATTCAGTCCAACTTCAAAAGTCCCCATAGTGTGTCACAATCTCAACATTGTTTAAAAGTCCAAAATTCAAAGACTTCTGAGACTCATGGCAATCTCTTAACATTAATTCCATTGTCAAATAAAAAAAAGCAGATCATATAATTCCAACATACAATGGCACAGAATATACTTTACCATTCCAAAAGAGAGAAAAGGGAGCATAACGAGGAAATACTGGACCAAAGTAAGACTAAAATCCAGCAGAGCAAACTCCAAATTCTATATCGACATGTCTAATGTCCAAGTGTTCTTCAGATCTCCAGCTCCTGTTGACTAACACCCTTCTCTCTGTTGTCCTGCTTCCACACTTTGTCTGCAGTTCTCCTTGGCAGATATCTTACAACTCTGGCATCAACAACATCTTGGGGTCTGCAGTACAACCCAGACTTAACCTTTACGGTTTTACACAGTGGCCTCTCAGGGCTTCCATGCAGGGACTCTAATGCTACACTCCTAGCCTCAGCTACTTTCTTTAGCCACAGAGGGAAGTTCCATAACCCCTTTCTTGTATCCTGGACTCCAAAGCCAGAACCACATGGCCAAAGCTGTCAAGTCTTTCTGCTTGCTGGGACCAGAAGATGAGCCCCTCATTCAAATACATTTTTATTAGCTTTCTTCACTACTTAAGCTTTTTGCTAATTCCTCTTCACAAGTTGGAATCTTATCTTGGTGGGGCATTTCCCTGAAGTCACCACTCCCTTCATTCCATTTACTATCAGGCTTTTCTTTGAACTTTTAATCTCCTTGAGCACAAGACTTAGCTCTCCATTATACTCCCTGGTACCCCTTTTCTCCTCAAACTACATTTTGTGATTTTCCTTGCTCAGCTTGCTCCTTTTCGTTATAGATCTATATAAGACTGATTACTAATAACTACATGACACAGTCAGTACTAGTCTGCCTTGAAATCTCTGCTGGTGCCTTTAACCTGAAATTCTTCAGTTTAGCTTGAGGCAGATTTTTAGTACAAGGCAAAAAGCAGCCACATTTCTTTGCCAAAATATCACTAGAATGGTTTCTAGGTCACTTGTTAATTCTCTTCCCCTCTGATACTTGAGCTGGGCCCCCACAGTTTAAATGTTCCTACTAGGATGGTCTTTTAGGTCTTTCTTAAAACATCATAACCACTTTTCTAATTTAAAGTCCCAAAGTCTTCCATATTCCTCCAGCAAACAGCATGGTCAGGTTCGTCACAGCAATGCCAGGCTCCCTGATACCAACTTCTGTCTTTGGCACTGTTCTATTGCCTTATAAAGGAAAACATTTAATTGGGGCTGGCTTACAGTTTCAGAGGTTTAGTCCATTATCATCATGTAAGGGAGCATGGTAGCATGCAGGCAGACATGACCTGAAAAAGTAGCTGAGAGTTCTACATTTGGATTCACAGGCAGGTGAAAGAGAGAGTGACTATAGGTTTGGCATAGGCTTCTGAAACCTCAAAGCCTACCCCCAGTGACACACTTCCTCCTACAATGCCATACCTCTTTATCTGTCTCAAATAGTGCCACTCCCTGATGACTAAGCAATCAAATATAGCAATCAAATTTATGAGCTTACAGGAGCCACTTTTATTCAATCTACCACTATATCCTAAAGTTATTTCTTAGATGAATGAATTAATGAAATATGATTTCTTTGACTGTTTATCTCTTTCTCCAATCTTTTCTGTTTTTTCTCTCATTACAAGTCGGAAAGTGCTTTTTAGAGATTTACATTTAGATTTTTCCCTTATGATATAAAATGGTAAAATAACCTTAGTAGCTAGGAGTCAGGAGACCCAGTCTGTATATGTTATCAATTCACTCTTGTTTTGACCCTGGATAACTGATTTTATCCTCTATATCTTATTTTTTTATTTTCTCTATTGAATAGGACATTTAAAGGATTGGGATTTATGATAAAATAAAGTAGTTTAAAATCAAACAGACTTGTATTTGAATTCTAGATTGCCAGTTATTAACTTGGAAGCTATTTTGTACCTCTGAGCTTTACTTTCCTCATTTGTAAAGGTGAAATAGTTAACTCTACTTTGCAGGAATAATATGAGGGAGAAAATGAGTTGGTACCCATAATTTGAAGCTTTATATGTATACTTTACTTTTATATGTACAATTTCCTATAAATTATGCCTTCTACTTCTGAGGTTCCTTTTAGCAAGAACATAAATCTGGCCACTACAATATTCTCACCCTTTTCACTATGGTTTCCTGTTTTCAGTGTTTAATTTAGGCCAGTATCGACGAGAGGCAGTGAGCTACAGGAACTATGAATTCTTTCTCCCAGACAACATGGAGGCTCAACTTATCAGGAAGTAAGTACCCAACATTTAAGAACCTGTGGTGCCCTTTGACTAAGAGGGACCTTTCTTCATATCCTACTAGGGGAGTAGGATAGAGTAGCCCGCTCTTCTATGTATATTCAGACTTTTGACATTTCAACATAGTGTAGTCATCTACAATGTTCATGCTTGGGAATTACTCAGTCATGTTATGAATAGGGAAAATGCAAAAACTCTCAGTGTTTTAGGTAAGTTTACAATTTGTGTTTGGCCACATTTCATAGTTATCCTAGGCCCTGGGTTGAACACCGCCTTGTCCAGCCTTTTTGTCAACTTACTTGAAGTCTGCTCTAATCATAGCCATTCCCTATCAAAAAGCATTTACAGTTTTCTATTTCTGGTACGAGAACATAGAAATGTATTACTCCAACATTGAGATTGAGTGTTTCAGGAGCTCAGCCCTCCTCAGTCTCTGCAATGTCATCATTTCAACTATAAACTCTTTTTCTATGTGGCTGTAAGTACTTCTAGGTGCAACCTGGCTCTCAGCTTTTTATCTGTGTTCTCATTATAGAACCCCGTAACCAGTAACTATTAAAGAGATGGTATTTTGCTGAAAGCCTAAGTACATTATCCCTTTCATACCCATGTTTACTATGTTGCCTAGGCCAGAAAGTCATTTTAACTCAAAGACCACATCCCTTGTCCTTACCCGTGTCCATCAACCAATTCAGCTTGAGCTCCATTAGTACACAGTTAGAGTCCTAAAACTAGGATGCTTTTATTGCTCAGCTTTTCTTGTACATGTCATCTTTTACATGCCCTTAAGCTGTACACACAGAGCCAGTTTGAACTGTAACCTCTCTATACTTAACATGATGCCTAGAACAAAGGATGCTGTGTAGATGTTCAACAGATGAATAATTTACTGTAAAGCATATGAGAGATGGTTCATAAGAGAACAGTGGTAAGAGGAACTCATCCTGGGAATAGGGATTGTCTGCTTCTTTCTGTTTTTCAGGCAGTGTGCTCTGGCAGCCCTAAAGGACGTCCATAAATATCTTAGCTGTGAGGAAGGTCACGTTGCGGTAAATAATATTCCATTTCCCCCCTCAGGCTATCTGTCATTATGGAAAATAGATAATATGTACTAAGCATTTATTTATGCCATACATTATTCTAAGTACTTTGTTTATATTAATAATTTAATTCACATTGTCCCATGAGATAGTCATCATTATTATGCTCTATTTTAGATTCTGAAAGATTAACTTATTTTCCAGGGTGGTGCAGTATTTGCAGAATCCATACTCTTAAGCACCATGCTTCATTGATTTGTCCTCAAGATTTAGCAGTATAAATATTTAAGACTGAAGTACAAACATTACTTTCTTTTCTTTGTTCAAAATGTTATAAACTTATTAAAAGTCCTTGCAAACAATTACAAACATACCATACAAAAATAACAAGACCCCAAGTCTATACAACTTCATGAACTTCATACACTGTGGAACATAAGCTGTGAAGCATGTCTTTTGTTGTGTTTTCTTTTTTTAGAGAGTGATTTGCAATTTTATGTCTTAATTCCTTGGGTTAGAGATTCTCAAATATGTGAATGCTAAGGATAGAGAATGTTTCCTGTTTCTGAACTTTTCTAAGACTTTTGGAAGGACAGGCCTCATCTGGAGTAGCAGCTCTATTATTGTTCTATCAGCAATTCATGGCTGTTATCAGAGCAAGTCTTTCTTCTAGGCCTGTTACTTGACCTATAACATGATCCTAAGAAAAATTTCCAAGCTTTCTCATGCTTTATTACATTCATAGGGTGGAGGATATTTCTGAGCAGACAGTAAGGGCTCTGTGAATGCTTTTGAAAGTAACACAGGCCAATTCCAACCCCTTCTTTTTCTTGAAAACTTTCTCTAAGTTCTTTCCCCTTCTGGAAGCCCTCCACTTGGAGCAACAGTGAATGAAGAATGGTATTATATCAATACTAGATTAAGAGTAAGACAATCTTATTAAATGTCTCTAGGTTTTTGATGCCACCAACACTACCAGAGAACGACGATCATTGATTCTGCAGTTTGCTAAAGAACATGGTTACAAGGTAGAGTGACACAGCCATGCTTACTCAGAGCAAATTACAAAGAAGTACAAAGTAGGGCACTTAGAGCAGCCAGTTTGAACACCATAGTCTCAACATCTAACTTTCCAGGGTAAATTGAGAAACGGCAGAGAAGAACAAAACAGACATGCCTGGTTAGGCAATGGAAAGCTGGTTACCAACAGGCTGATACTGGGGATAGTGAGGTGGCAATGATGAAGGAGTCTTGAGAAACATGTAAGATCCAAAACCCAGCAGAAATCTGGGGCAGTTCAATTAGAGACAGGCTGCCTCATAGGAGTCAGAATCCTGAAAGCACCATTGTGTGAAAGCATTGTTTTTAGAAATGTCCCTAGGGATGATTCAGGGATATCAAGAATGGGTGTGCTTGTGTGGCTCCCCAAAAGTATAATCCTCTGCTAGAAAGCTCTTTTTCTCTTCTAGGTCTTTTTTATTGAGTCTATTTGTAATGACCCTGACGTCATTGCAGAAAACATCAAGGTAAGGAGCACCGCTCTACCTTATTCTTTTAAAAGTCTTAATTTAATTTACATCCTAAATCCACATGTATGTATATGCATATATGCACACATACATTGTGTGTGTGTGTGTGTGTGTGTGTGTGTGTGTGTGTGTGTGTATGAAATGTGTAAAATGTGAAATGCACATGCCATGGTGTGTATGTGGAGATCAGAAGATAATTTCAGGTGTTAGTCCTCACCTTACACCTTGTTTGAGATAGGGTCTCTTCTTGTTCTTTGTTGCATATTCCAAGATAGCCTGCCCTCAAGCTTTTAAGGTATCCCCCTGTCTCCACTTCTCATTTCACAATAGGAACTCTGTGATTACAAATGCATACCACCACATCAGCTTTACGTGAGTTTGGGGGATCCAGACTTAGGTTCTCATACTTGTGTGGCAAGCTCATTACCACTAAGTCATCTCCCCAACCCTCAGTCTTCCTTATTCTGTCTTAGGCTTGGATCATTTCTAAAAGACAACTATAAACTTAAAGCCTTCCTCTCTGAGGTGCTCCTCCTACTTTGTATAAGAAGCACTCCCTTGCTTACCCACAGTGTTCCTATAAAGTTAGATGAAAACAGCATATATAGAGCCCTTAGAATTCATTGAACACTAAGCTTGACTCTCCTTTTTTTCACAACAAACCTGCATGTTTGTTTAGAAGAGAGACTGAGGCTCAAAGGGTTAAATTGGCAAAGACTGGTACAGATCTGGTACAGATGGAAATAGGAATGCAACCTGGCTTGACTGTCTTTCTCAAAAGTCCATATTCTGTACTGTGTCCCACATTTCACATCATAATTATTGCTTTTAGCCTATTAACTGTATGGTCTAGAATTAGACTCAAACCTTTGTTGTTCTCTGTCCCTTAAATTACTGGTGCTTAGGAGCATAAGAGACCTTAAAGACCATCTCTTTCAACCTTTCACCAACCACTTAAAATCTCAGCTAAGTATTTGCCTATATTTCTGTCCATACCTATAGTAACAAATAGTCATTGTCTTTTTTAAAAAAATGTAGCCTAATGAAAGTGAAATTTGTCTCCCTATAACTTCTACCCATTACTCTTATTTTTATCTCTTGGGATATATAGCATGTTCAAATCTTTTTCCTCTTCATCCACCCAATTATCCATCCACTTATTGATTCAGGAAAAACTGTACACCTGAATAGCTAATGTGGGCATTAAAGATATAGAAACAATGAAAGCCCTTTTCTTGAACTCACAGTCTAGTTAGGGACAGTGACATATATATATATATATATATATATATATATATATATATATCCCTTGGGATTAGAGATGAGGTAAAGGGAAAGAGAAGGTTGTAAGAACACAGTGGTAAGGACCAGTCTTGTCTGTGCGGGGGGTAGGGGGATGCCATGGAAGACCTCCAAGTGGAGGTAACAGCAATATCCTGTTGAATGCATAGGAGTTTTTGCAGGTAAAGAATTTAAATGGGGAATAAAATACACTAAGTATGATATATCCAGGAAACTCACAGTATTTTGAATCTGAAAAGGCAAAATGTGTGTCCAAATATGAGAGCAGTAAGGGATGGTAGTGAAAAGGCAATTGGACTTGTCATGATCTAACTTGCTAAAATAGCTCATACTTTGTCCTAAAAGACACTTGGAAATAGTGAAGGAGTTTAAAGAGGAGAGTCCCATTGTCAAATGTTTGTGTTATAAATATCCTTGTTGGAGAAATAATAAATAAATAAATGAAATATTCTTCTGGGACTAGTGAGATGATTGAATCACAAGCTTGATGGCCTGAGTTCAATCCCCAGAACTCACATAAATGTGGAAGGAGAGAACTGACTCCACAAAGTTGTCCTCATACTCACTGTGATCTGCATATGTCTCCCAACACAACATCATGCACATGTACATGCACATAATAATAATAAAATAATAATGAACTGAAATTTAAGGAGATATCTTTCTAGCTACCAGCAATCAGTCACAAAGCTGTAGTGAACATAGGCAAAAGAGATTGTCTATTTAGAAAAAAGATTAGAGGGGCTTAGTTTCTGCTCGCAAGTGAGATTCCATGTAGGCTCAAGTGATTGAATGGAGGAATGGGGGAAAAAAGGAAGAAAAGGTAGATATTGGAGGATTAGGAGTTGCCAGTCTTTGAAAAAGTCAATGACAACATGCCTGTTTTCTCAGCAATGAGTAAATACATGAAAGTCTTTATGATATGAAGTCAAAATATCTCATTCTTCTTCCTCATCGCAGTTTGCTGGTCTCTTATAGATGGTGTTAAGCAATATGTGTTCTGGGAGTAAACAAATTGTAAAATATAGCCCAACTTCTCTTCGATTGCCTAATTTTGACTTGGGCAAAACCCTTGGTCAAACTCTTAAGTTCCCTTGCCTTTGGGGTTTGTGGTAGTCAGTTGTCTATAAGGGCCCTTTCCTAATACAATGTCAGAGTCTCTATTTCCCCACATTTATCTTCTTCCCACCTTCTCACAGCAAGTGAAACTTGGCAGCCCTGATTACATAGACTGTGACAAAGAAAAGGTTTTGGAAGACTTTCTTAAGAGAATTGAGTGCTATGAGATTAACTACCAACCTTTGGATGAAGAATTGGACAGGTAAGAACCTAACAACAAGCCAAAGTCAAGTTTTGTTGTCTTATGGGACCTAAGAAAATGTCCACCTTTGGGGGGACCTTAACTTTTCTATCCATAATATCAGAAGTGGGACTTGATATATCTTTATGACCCCCTCCAGTCCAGTTTTCCATGAGACAGTGATTTTTTGTTATGGAACGTATTCATGAGTTGACTAAAGTCGTGCCTTCTTATGCAATAGACACAGATTTGGACTTTGCTCCCTGAGAACAAATGTCTCCATTCTGTGACTGTTGTGTTGCTATTGCAGAAGTACTATTCACTTGAATGTCACCTTAGTATCTATACAGACTCGCCTTCTTTCTTCTATCACATCCCCATAGTACTTCCATAAAGAAGGCTGTGGTAGAGCTGATATCCTAAATTTCCAAAAAGAGGAAACCAAATCTTAGGAAGCTGAAGCTACTACCCAAGCTTCCACCATAAGTCATATGTGGCACTAGAAGTCTAACCATGTATTGTCTCCTATTGTTTCTCCTCTCAACCCTCATGGATCTCTTCAATCAGCATGTCTTTGGAAACTTTACATGCAGAAGGTATAAATAGTCAAATGAGATGGATTCTGTCCTTGGGTGATTTTTACAGAGTCTCAACATATGAAAAGACCTATAAAGCTATAAAATAAGAAGATTTTCTTGCATAATACCAGCTACACATAGAGAAGTATTGGCTGGCAGTGTAAAGCAGATGTGAGTTTAGTTGTAAAATGTTCAAAGAAACTTGCTCTCTTTCAAAATGGGTTCTAATGAAAACAGACTTAAGCTATCCATACTCTTTGAGACCCAAGTTTGAAGAGTAAAAGGGCTGTAACTGGTCATAATTACCCTAAGAAGTTTAAATGCATCCTTTCAGTCTTCTCCACTAGAAATGTAAGAAAATGGGTATTGTTACTTCACAGTTCGGGAAACTGACAACCATGTTCAAAATCAGTTCAAAGGCTTGTCTGAATCAGCAACACAGTCTATACTGAATGAAGCCTGTATTTACCAAATTACAGCCTGATTTAACCCTCCACATCCTTGAATCACAAGATATATCAAATGGGACTTAAATACTCAGTGCAAAGGGCACATAGCCTTCATGTATAATTTTGCAGATAGTTCACTGTGCATGCTCCCTGACCAAACATACACATGTTTCTCTCAGGAAGACATGCAATGGAGCTAGGTTGTTTCTGTTTGAGAAAAGCGACTTTTTTAGATTCCACAGTGATACTATATAGGATAATGGCATATGATGGAAGGATCTTGCAGGAAGGGGGCTGAAGGGAAAGAATGACATTAAGAAAATCAGTAGACCTAAGTTTAGACACCTAGAGGGGCACTGTTGAGTTTTGTTTGTTTCTGTTATTCTTTTGATGAGCTTATTGAGCCTGAAGAAGATAGATATAGAAGGCCAGTTTTGTTTAATTATTTTAATAAAATTATTTTTTCTTTTTTATATTTTTTTAAAAAGAAAACTATCTGCTTTTCATTATATATAGCAATCCAAATTCCCACTTCACACACCGTCCGACCCCACCCCATCCAATCCTCAGAGAGGATAAGGCACATTGCTTTGGGGAAGGTTCAAGGCCCTCCCTACTATATCTAGGCTGAGCAAAGTATTCATCCAAAGAGAATAGGTTCCCAAAAAGCCAGTACATGCAATAGGGATAAATCCTGGTGCCACTGCCAGTGACCCCTCAGTCTTCTCCAGCAATACAAATATCAACCACATTCAGAGGATCTAGTTTGGTCCTATGCTTGTTGCTTCCCAGTCTGGCTGGAGTTGGTGATCTCCCATCAGCTCAGGTAGACTGTTTCAGTGGGTGAACCCATCATGGTCTTGACCTCTTTGCTCATATTCTCATTCCTCCCACTCTTCAACTGTACTTTGGGAGCTCAGTCTAGTGCTCTGATGCGGGTCTCTGCCTCGGTTTCCATCAGTTGCTGGATGAAGGTTCTATGGTGATATTTAAGATATTCATTAGTAGGACAACACGGCAAGTCAAGATCGGGCCCCCTCTCCTCAATAGCTTAGGGTTTTAGCTGGGGTCATCCTTGTGGATTCCAGGGCATTTCTCTAGAGCCACATTTCTTGCTAACCCTATAATGGCTCCCTCAATCAAGATATCTCTTTCCTTACTCTCATCTCTGTTCTTCCTTCTCAACTATCCCATTCCCTCAAGTTCTCCCCACCCCTCCCCTTCTCCCCTCCTTTTCCCCTTCCACCCTCCCTTCTCCCCCACCTCTATGCTCCCAATTTTGTCAGGCAATCTTGTCTGTTTTGACTTTCTGGGTGGATCTATGTATGCTTTTCTTTGGATTCACCTTATTATTTAGCTTCTCTAGGATCATGAACTATATAGGCTTGATGTCCTTTGTTTGTAGCTAGTATATACTTCTGAGTGAGTACATACCATATTCATCTTTTTTGGATCTAGGTTACCTCACTCAGGATAGTGTTTTCTAATTCCATCCATCTGCATGCAAAATTCAAGATGTCAGTTTTTTTACCGCTGAATAGTACTCTAATGTGTAGATGTGTCACATTTTCTTTATCCATTCTTCAGTCGAGGGGCATCTAGGTTGTTTCCAGGTTCAGGCTATTACAAATAATGCTGCTATGAACATAGTTGAACAAACGCCTTTGTAGTATGATTGAGCATCTTTTGGGTATATGCCCAAGAGTGGTATTGCTGTCTCCTGAGGTAGGTTGATTCCCAATTTTCTGAGAAACCACCATACTGATTTCCAAAGTGGTTGTACAAGTTTGCATTCCCACCAGAAGTGAATGAGTGCTCCCTTTACCCCACATCCTCTCCAGCATAAGCTGTCATTGGTGTTTTTTATCTTAGTCATTCTGACAAGTGTAAGATGGTATCTCAGAGTTGTTTTGATTTGCATTTCCCTGATGGCTAAGGATGTTGAATATTTCCTTAAGTATCTTTTGGCCATTGGTCTTGGAGAGATCAGGGATACAAGGACCATATCTAAATATAATAAAAACAATATACAGCAAGTCGACAGCCAACATCAAATTAAATGGAGAGAAATGATAAAGGATTCCACAAAAATCAAGAACAAGACAAGGCTGTCCACTACTCTCTCCATATCTCTTCAACATAGTTCTTGAAGTTCTGACTATAGCAATAAGACAACAAAAGGAGATCAAGGGAATTCTAATTGGAAGGGAAGAAGTCAAACTTTTGTTATTTGCAGATGATATGATAGTATATATAAGTGACCCCAAAAACTCTACCAGAGAACTCTTACAGCTGATAAATACCTTCAGTGATGTGCTACATCAACTCAAAAAAATCAGTAGCCCTCCTATGTACAAATGATAAGGAAGCTGCGAGGGAAATCAGAGAAACATCACCTTTTTTCTTTTTATTTTTTAAAAAAAACAATCTTTTTCATTTTATATGCCAACCACAGTTCCCCTTCTGTCCCTCCTCCTGCTTCCCCGCACCATCCCACCTCTAATCCACTCCACAGAGTGGATGAGGCATTCCTTCGGTAGTCAAGAAAGTCTATCACATCACATTGAAGCAGGACCAAGGCCCTTCCCCTGTATCTAGGCTGAGCAAGGTATCCCCTTATAGGGAATAGGCTCCAAAGAGCCAGTTCATTCACTAGGTATAAATACTGCTTCCACTGCTAGTGGACCCACAAACTGCCCAAGCCACACAACTGTAACCCACATTCAGAGGGCCCAGTTCAGTCCTATGCAGGCTCTCCAGCTGTCAATCCAGGGTCAGTGACCTCCCACTAGCTCAGGTCAGCTCTTTCTGTGTGTTTCCCTATCATGATCTTGACCCCTTTGCTCATTTTATCACCCTTCTCTCTCTGCCTGGACTCCAGGAGTTCAGCCAGTGCTTAGCTGTGAATCACTGCATCTGCTTCCATCTAATTATTTTATAAATTTATTTAATTAATAGAAATTTAACTGCATCATGGCCAGCCTTAGCACTACCTAAGGAGGCCAAAGAGGCAAGGCTATTCATGTTTTGCTAGAATGCCCAGTAATTTGGAAAAGGTGGTGTGTACACAGTTGACTCCAGTTCTGGGATCAGTAAGCTAGATGATTGAAGGAACTCTGAGCATGGAACTTGGCCCACCTTTAAGCAAGAATGCTTGTAAGAACTGGATTATTCAGTAGGCAAGCTAACCATGTGTTCGAGGCATCAGCAATGTTGGACTTCCAAAAATAAGAAGAAAACTATCCTACAACCATTTGACAATTAGTATTTAAAAGCAGCAACATGAAAAAGTAGAAAAATAAAACCAGGACCTTCTCATTAGTATAGTTTATATATTTTATTTTAAATTACATAATTTGGGAGATGAACATGAAACTTTTATAATAATTTGTTATTAAGATATTATACATGAATTTATATAGCTCTAAACTCTAAGATTTCTTGAAGAGAGTAAATGTCCTACCTTTTGAAAGATAGGAGCTCAACTTTGGAAATCAGCAAGGTACATCATTTCAAGCAAAACGAAAAGTACTTTGAGACAGCTGGCCTAATTAGCTCTTAGTATGAAAAGAAGAGAGGAGTACAGAGAATATTCCAAGTATACCAGCAATACAGGAATTAAAATATCATGGGTTAGGTGTGGTGCTGTATGATGAAGCCAACTCCAGACAGCCTGTAAAATCATTTAGGATAACAGACAAAGCTATGGAATTTGAAAGTTCCCTTTGAATCACAGAGTCTAGTATTTGATACAGGCAATACCCAGGCAACAAAATCACATCAGAGCTCACTGGAGTGAGACATATTCTGTGGAAATTTGCTTCTCTGTGTGCTTTTATTTTCTACATGATGACCTCTACTCTGAATAATGGCTGTGAGGATTTGTGCATCTTAAAATCTCCCAGGCTCTTCAAGATACACAGAAAATATTCAATATTCAACAAATTCAAGTGTCCTTTGGGATCCACTGCACATGGATCCCAGAGTTGTGAAGGATGAGGCTGTAAATGTAAAGGCCTTTTCTAGGAAGATCAAGGAAGAGGCTCTCTGAAACCAAAACCATCAACAGCTTAAGGGCCCTGGGTTGCTTATGTCACCCTATGACTCCAGTTCCCACACCTTTTCCCATGGAGCTCTCTTAGCTCCTTACAGTCAACTAGAGGATTAAGGGCTGTTCCAGGAGCTGTAGAAGTTTCACTTCATGACTCTAATCTTCCAAGCTGTTCATATCTCCACCCCCCTGCCTCCCAGCTCTTCCAGAGACATTGTATTTGATTAGTACTCGGTCTATTGTTACTAGAGCTGAGCATATAACTAAGGGAACTACCAGGAACTTGGGGCCAGGACCACAAGTTTGCTAATGATGTTCTGCACTATTTCTGTATCCCTTCACACCAATGCTTGGCATACTGTGCTGTTGTGACAGGCATGCTGAATATTATTCATGTATCCAAGTGTATGTTTCTGACTGCTCTAAGAGTTCCTAAAGGGCAGATATCCTCTACCCAAAGCACAGTGCCTTAATTCAGATAAAAGTACTTGTGAATTGCAGGTGTAGACTATAGAGAAGAATCTTAGCCAATTGCGTTGTGATTGGGAAAGGGAAAAAGACAGGTTGATTCAAGCTGAAAAAAGGAGATTGTAGCCCACAGTGATGAGGTCCCTGGGGCTGTCAGGAACAAAATTTCTAGAATATATACCAAGAGCAAGATTAGGTATAACATCTTGTTAGGTAGGAGCCGAACTTCAGAGGAGGATTGGGAGCAGGAGGTGTGGTTAGGAATTTCTCTTGGGATCAACCCTCCCTCCCATCAGCACCTACGATGTTTGCTTCTCCTTGGGTCTGGCCCAGCCACCTATCCTACATCAAGATCTTCGACGTGGGCACACGCTACATGGTAAATCGAGTGCAGGACCATGTTCAGAGCCGCACAGCCTACTACCTCATGAACATCCATGTCACTCCCCGATCCATCTACCTATGCCGGCATGGTGAGAGTGAGCTCAACCTCAGGGGCCGCATTGGAGGTGACTCTGGCCTCTCATCTCGGGGCAAGCAGGTAAGGGAGTTCCAAAGACTCAGGTGGGTAAACTAGGCTAACCCAGGTAGGGTGGCCAGTGACTGAATTTTAAGAAGTATCCCTCAATGGAAAAGGCTCAAATTATGATCGATCAGTCTCTTCCAATATTAGTCACTGAGTCCTGTCACAGATATTGAATGGTTCTCATATGCATACTGTTTCTGCAAGATCAGTAGCATGATCCTCCAAGGCTTCCCAAGTATAGCTGCTTCTCAAGCTCCATCACCCTTCCCCTACTGGATGTCTCCCCTCATCATACCACTCTGCCCTTTGTCCAATCCCACCTTGCTGTCCTCTTTGGTCCCTCTGTTAGCTGGTAACTGTCAAGTACATAGATAAGTGACCTTTGGATCTCAGCCTGAATCCCCCTTCTTCATGACTCAGTGTTGATGCTGCCCCCTAACTCATTTGAGAAACCCCACTGTCCTCACCCTACTGCCTCTTGCTCACTCCGTTCCTTCTAAGGTCCTGCTTCTGCTCCAAGATCTAGTCATCCAGGAAGTCCTCCCTATTTATTCCTTATCCCATGAGTCACTGGCCTTTGGAAATACCTCTCCTCATTCTGCTCTATCACTGACTCTTTCAAGTCATGATTTTTCCGTTTTCGACCTGATAAAGTAACCTTTCCATTCTGGGTAATGGATTTACTTCCCAGTTTCTGGTCCTTTACCTAGGCTTGTTAGCACACATGTTGCTGGAGAAAATCACTTAGGGATAGCATAGATAGAAAATGAAGTGTAGGAGAGGCATTCCTGGTTCTTAATGTCTTTTTAGAAGTTTTATTTGCTTTTATTTCATGTGTATATGTGTGTTGCCTGCATGTGTGTCTGTGTGTTGTGTGCATGTCTGGTGTCCACAAGGACCAGAAAGGGGCATCAGATCCCCTGGAGCTTGTTGTGAGTCATCATATGGGTGCTGGGAACAAAAACAGCCAGTGCTCTTAAATACTGAGTCAACTCTACAACCCCTTACTGTCTTTTATTGGACACCTATGCACAGCCATAGTACCATCCACTTCCACGTCTATTTTTTTGAATGACATCAGCAGTGTGAACTGAGCATAACTGTCATTGTTTATGGATAAGGAAGCTGAGCAACAGAGACAGAGAGCAGCTTCAGGTCATGTGGTCAGTAAAAGATAACATAGGCAGGACTGAAAACCAGACCTTCCTGCCTTTCCTCAGTACCCCTGCTGGATAGGTGGAAGATGTCCCAAACTAGGACTGCCCCTGAAGCCCTGTCCTCGGGGAACCTTTCTGATCCTTATGGACTGGAAGTTTCCCTCTAGAGGTTCCCTCTGACCTGACTCTTACCTCTCATGCTCTCCAGAACAGAGACTGAGATCACTTGAGGTATTTTTTTCATCTCCAGGACTTCTTGGCTATAGCTACTCTTTCTTACTTGCACAGCTAAGAGTCCATTGAAAAAGTAGCCATGAATACATGAGTACCGCCTGTACACACAAATATGTATATATGAGCACGCATCAGATCCTAACCTTCACATTCGTCAGCCCACTGCATGAGGCCTGGTTTTAAAAGTCAGCCACCCCAATCTCTATAGCTTTCGTTTAACTAGTACCTACTATGTACCAGGAAATAGTTTGCTTTCCACACAGCTCAGAGACAAGGCTGGATAAGTGCATGGTGTTTGCATTTTATAGGTATGGTATGACGTCAGAGATGGGCACTATGTAAGCTGTTGGGATTTGCCTTTCTGTTACTCTCTTAGGCAAGGGCTTCTACCCATGAACACTGACTACTGACTTGCATCTATCATACAAATTTGTGCCTATGTCCATTTGTGCAGATAGGACAAGCCATGTTTGATTAATAACACCCTGTACATAGGGCCATAAATACTCAGTGCATGTGCAAATGACCTTTAACTGGGTACCGGGATCCCCATTCTAGCAATAGAAATTCAAAACATCAGAGAACTGTCTTTCAGATCCTTCAGTCCATACTTCCAGGCCACAAACTGGGCACTTCTAGCCTTGAAACCCCTCTCTGATGGCCTGAAATCTGATTCAGTGCCCGTATGCACCCATCTGATAGTTTCTGCCTGAGGACAGGCCATGATCACAGGAATATTAACTTTTAGGCCCAAGTGTAGCCCTGAGGTTACTCTGTGTAGAAGAGGACCACTGGAGATGGAGCATAAACAGAATTTGGTGATGTGATTTGATTAACCTCGGACATGTAGTGAAGATACCTAGAAGTGCTGGATGTCATCAGAAATAGAAGGAGAAAGAATACAGACCATGGGGGTGGATCCATTTGTTCTTAGGCTCAATGTACGTTAGAGGTGGGCCTGTTTGAATGAATGATCCATCTAGTAGGGGAATCAGTGAGCACATATCAGCATAGATACTCTTTTTCTCTTTCTTTCATCCTTAGTGGTTCAGGGTAGGATATGACTTTTATTTTTGACACTTTATATTTGCACATATTTGTTAGATATAATTTACTATTTCCATGCTAATTGTATATTGGTCCATCATCTTTTTTTGAGGGAAAGAAATGTTATTTTTGTTACTTTAATGATTATTTTGTTGTTTATGTTTTTATTGTTTTTATTGAGCTATACATTTTTTTCTGCTCCCTTTCCTTCCTCCCCCTCCCCTTCTACCCTCTCCGATGACCCCCATGTTCCCAATTTACTCAGGAGATCTTGTCTTTTTCTTCTTCCTATGAAGATTAGATCCATGTATGTCTTTCACAGTGTCCTCTTTGTTGTCTAGGTTGTCTGGGGTTGTGAACTGTAGGTTTTTTTTTTTTCTTTGCTTTATGACTAGAAGACACATATGAGTGAGTACATATGATATTTGTCTTTCTGACTCTGGGTTACCTCATTCAGTATGATGTTTTCTAGATCCATTCATTTGCCTGCATATTTCAAAATGTCATTATTTCTTTACTGCTATGTAGTACTCCATTGTGTAAATGTACCTCGTTTTCCTTATCCATTCTTCAATTGAGGAGCATTTGTGTTCTTTTCAGGTTCTGCTAATACAAATAATGCTGCTGTGAACATAGTTGAGCACATGTCCTTGTAGTATGATTGAGCATCCTTTGGGTAAATACCCAACAAAGGTATTGTCAGTCTTGAAGTAAATTGTTTCCTAATTTTCTGAGAAATCACCATACTGATTTACAAAGCGGCTGTTCAAGTTTGCACTCCCACCAGCAATGGAGGAGCATTCTCCTCACCCCACATCCTTTCCAGCATTGGCTGTCATCAACGCTTTTGATCTTGGCCATTCTGACAGGTGTAAGATGAAATTTCAGAGTTGTTTTGATTTACATTTCTCTGGTGGATATCGATGTTGAGCATTTCCTTAAGTGTCATTCAGCCATTTGAGATTCCTCTGTTGAGAATTCTCTGTTTAGATCTGTAGCCACATTTTTTATTGGATTATTTGTTCTTTTGATGTCAAGCTTCTTAAGTTCTTTGTATGTTTTGGAGATCAGCCTTCTGTCCAATGTGGTGTTGGTGAAGATCTTTTCCCATTCTGTAGGTTGCCATTTTGTCTTGTTGACTGTGTCGTTTGCCTTATAGAAGCTTCTCGGTTCCAGGAGGTCCCATTTATTTATTGTTGCTCTTATTGTCTGTGCTACTGGGTTATACATAGGAAGTGGTCTCCTGTGCCCATGTATTGCAGGCTACTTCCCACTTTCTCTTCTATCAGGTTCAGTGTGGTCAGATTTATATTGAGGTCTTTAATCCATTTGGACTTGAGTTTTGTACATGGTGATAGATATAGATCTATTTTCATTCTTCTACAGGCTGACATCTAGTTATGCCAGCACCATTTGTTAAAGATGTGTTCTTTCTTCCATTGTATAATTTTAGCTTCTTTGTCAAAAATCATGTGTTCGAAGAGGTGTGGATTGATATCCGGGTCTTCTATTTGGTTCCATTGGTCCTCCTTTCTGTTTTTATGGCAATACCAAGCTGTTTTCAGTACTGTAGCTCTATAGTAGAATTTGAAGTCAGGGATTGTGATGCCTCCAGAAGTTCTTTTGTTACATAGGATTGTTTTGGCTATCCTGTTTTTTGTTTGTTTGTTTTTCTATATGAAGTTGAGTATTGTTCTTTCAAAGTCTGTAAAGAATTTTGCTGGGATTTTTTTGATGGGTATTGCATTGAATCTGTAGATTGCTTTTGATAAAATTGCCATTTTTACCATGTTAATTCTGCCTACCCAAGAGCATGGGAGATCTTTCCATTTTCTAGTGTCTGCTTCAATTTCTTTCTTCAAAGTTTTAAAGTTCTTGTCATACAGGTCTTTCACTTTTTTGGTTAGAGTTACTCCAAAATATTTTATGTTATTTGTGGCTATTGTGAAGAGTGATGTTTTTCTGATTTCTTTCTCAGCCCATTTATCATCCATGTAAAAGAAGGCTACTGCTTTTTTTTTTTTAGTTAATCTTATATCCTGATACATTACTGCAGGTGTTTATGTGTGTTTAACATTGTGTGTGATGAGAACATTCAAAATCTTCTAAGGGTTTTAAAATATACAGCACCAATTTTTAATGATAGACACCCTACTGTGTATTGGAATGTCAGAACTTACTAAGTGTAACTTTATATCCTTTGATAAACCTCTCTGTATCCCTCCTTTTCAAGAGTATATCTTTATGTAATTTTTGTGGTGCTAGGAATAAAACCCAGCACCTCAATATCTGTTAGGTAAATGTTCTACCTCTGAGGTATAGTCCCAGGTTTATCTTTATATAAATTTAATCATCGTTTTCTTTTTTGTTCCTTTAGTACTTAACCATTCATGAGAGATTTGAACTTGTTCTTATGGCTCCCTTGGTCTTTCCCTTATCACCTCTTTTTTCCTTCCTCTTCTTTGTATCCCTAGTATGCCTTTGCCCTGGCCAACTTCATTCAGTCTCAAGGCATCAGCAACCTGAAGGTGTGGACCAGTCATATGAAGAGGACCATTCAGACTGCTGAGGCCCTAGGTGTCCCCTATGAACAGTGGAAAGCCCTTAATGAGATTGATGCGGTAAGATGGAAAGGGTTAATATCCTGGCATATAGGGAGATTGTAATTCTAAGATTATCTCGTGGGTTACCTCTGTTCCAGGGAACCTAATTAGTTCATTAAACCTTATATTGTTTTTTGTTTTGTTTTGTTTCGTTTTTGTCAAGCAACCATGTATAAGAGAGTATTCTGTGTCCTGAAGATCTTGTGAAATTCAGCATTGGATTGACCTATGAGAATGTCTATGGGGCATTTTCATGAATTTTTAATTTATATAGGGAGGCAAGCTCACTGTAGGAAGTACCATATGTCGGCAGGTGGATCTGGGCTGTAAAAGAAAGGTGTCTTAATGTGAACCTAAAAGTAAGCAAGTAATCACGTTTTCTCCATGCTTCTTGTCCTGATTTCCTTTAATGATGGATTGTCATCCTACCTAAGATGTTTTTGGTCATGGTTTATTGCAGCAAAAGAAACCAAACTAGACAATTTCTATAAGGTAGTTGTTAATTTCTGCATTTTGCAGATGAGGAAAATAAAACTCAGAGACGTTAAGCATGTTGCCTAAAGTCAAAATAAGAAGGCAATGATCATTTCCATAGGCAAAAGGCCTCACAATAAGCCTCAGAACAGAAGCTTAAAACAGTCTAAAAGGATCTTTGTGTTCTTTCTTTCCTATGAGTAATGTTCATTCAGAAAGCCTGACACTGCAAAGCTGTTTATAATTTGTAAATGTTCTATTCCGTGCCCCTGAAGGAAGCCTGATAGATAGTCAAAAAGACAAGAGCCAGAGTCTGATGACCCCAGGCACCAAACAAGCAGGGTTTAATTAAAACTCACACACTTTGAAGGAAATGTCAAGAACAACATCTCTTTTTACCACCAGCACCAGTAGCCTTGCCTATGGGGATTTCTCAGTAGACTTGGAAGCTCTCAGAATTTATCTTCCTAGGCCCACTCTGAAACCATTAAAAAATTTCCTAGTTTTTACCTTAGGAAGTATCTGTGGATAGATTTTTCCAAGAGATAGTAAAATAGAGGGCAGGACAGGAAGGATAAGGAAGGCTATCCAATGGGTGAGTACCACTGTCTATATATATGTACTGTATATATACTTGTATACAGAGTTTCAGATACCAGCCACAAGTATGTTTACCAGTACACACATGCACTTTACAGTCACAGCAACTCTCTCCTGTCAATCATATCTGCAACATATATGCACACAGTTCTAGAAATAAATATAGGTACATCATATACATATATGTATTGAATATAAACACAGATGAGCAAACCATTTGACATGTACACAGTACTAATACATAGTTTCAGGAATATTACTCACATTCACAGACTTCAGACATAGACATACATACACAAATGATATTGCAGAAACAATGTAGAATGTACACATTCGTGTATATATGTCACCAATACACATGAAGACAGATACTACAGAGTAACCCACATGGGCATAGTCTCAGATACTTATACACTCTGTACATCCACACAGAGAATACAAGTGTACAACATATGTAAAATTAGATATAAAATATACACGGAAACACAAGGCTTTGAACATATCTCAATCACACTGATGCATTTATCTAATTATTCTTTATCAATAAAAGAAATCAGGAATCAGATATGGGGTAAGAACCTGAATGATCAGAGAATCAGAGAGGCCACCAGTCACCTCCTCTCTCTTCCAATCTTCAAACCAGAGGGCTTGAGATTCTCTCACAGCCCTGCCTTACTATTTCCTGTCTCCTCTCTGCCCTCAATCCAAAACCTCTGTGGTTAATTTTGGTCAGCTAGTGGCTAGCTCCACCCTCTGGTTCAAAGTTAACTTTATTGTCAGGATGTGATCAAGATATCACACAACGGCACACATAATAAGCATGCTGCACATGCTTACAAACACAGTAGTAAGTCCTTATTTTATATATACTTATATATAATATTCACATCTAGAACTATTGAGGCAATCGTAGGAAAATATCATATATTGAGTCCAAACACACCCATTCTTCTTTTTTCTGCTTTTTATTTATTATCTAGAACTATAATCAAATTGAGTATCCCTCGAATAAAACCGAACACCAGAGTATCATACCATTACATCAGCATATTTAAGAATATCTGTTCAATACCACAAAGAGGTTTTTTTTTAGAATTTTACTTTTTTCCCCTTATTTATTTATTTAAAGAATTTCCATCCAGTCTGTTTGGACGCTCGCCTTCCTGGACCTGGAGGGAGGGGGAGGGAGCTGGAGCTTCCCACAGGGCAGGAAACCCTGACTGCCCTGGGGGACGGAGGGGAAGGAGGGGGGAGTGGGGGGAGTGGGAGGGTGTTGGGAGGGGGGGCGGAAATGGAAACTTTTATAATTTAATAAAATTTACTAAAAAAAAAAGAAAAAAAAAGAAAAACTGTAATTATAAATAACACAAAAAAAAAGAATTTCCACTTCCTCCCCTCCTCCCAATACTCTTCAGCTCCCCCCACTCCCTCTCCTCCTCCCTCACCATTCCCAAGAGCAGTCAGGGTTTCCTGTCCTGTGGGAAATCCAAGTTTCTCCCCACTCCCTCCAGGTCCAGGAAGGTGAGCACCCAAACAGACCAGGATCCCAGAAAGCCAGTCCATGCAGATGAAACCAGACCCAGTGCCATTGTCAATGGCTTCTCAGTCAGCCCCCATGTCAGCCACATTCAGAGAATCCGGTTTGATCACATGCTCGTTCAGTCCCAGTCCAGCTGGCCTTGGTGAGCTCTCATTAGGTCAGTCCCCTTGTATCAGTGGGTGAACGCACCCTTCGCGGTCCTGACTTCATTTTTCATGTTCTCCTTCCTTCTGCTCTTCATTTGGACCTTGGGGGCTCAGTCAAGTGCTCCAATGTGGGTCTCTGTCTCTATCTCCATCCATCGTCGGATGAAGATTCCCTCTGGTTCTGCTTTCCTTGCTCACGATCTCCCTCCCTCTGCTTCTCATTTGGACCTAGGGAGTTAAGTTCAGTGTTCCAACATGTGTCTCTGTCTCTATCTCCATCCATCACCAGATGAAGGTTCTGTGGTGACATGCAAAATACTCATCAGTATGGTTATTGGCCAAGGCCAGTTCAGGTACCCTCTCCTCTGCTGCCCAGGGAACAATCTGGGGACCTCTCCTTGGGCCTGGGAACCCCTCCAGAATCAAGTCTCTTGCAAACCCTAAGTTGGCTCCCTTAGTTGAGATATAAACTTCCCTGCTCCCATAACCATCCTTCCTCCCTCCCCCCCTTCCATTCCCCCAAGCCATCCCCAATCCTCCCCCTCTCCCCTCCCCCTAACCATCTCCCCTTACTTCCACCCCCTCCACCCCCCGTGCACCCAAGTTTGCCTGGCAATCTTGCCTACTTCTAATATCCAGGAGGATAACTATATGATTTTCTTCAGGTTCACCTTATTTAGCTTCTCTAGGATCACGAATTATAGACTCAAAGACCTTTAACTATGGCTAGAATACACTTATGAGTGAGTACATACCATATTCCTCTTTCTGGGTCCTCACACAAGTCACACGCCTCTCACACATAATGCACCACAGGTAACAGGAACAACTCAAGAGCTACTTTGACAGAAACCCACATGTTATATTATTCTATAATCATTGGTCTCTGAATTGTGTAAAAACGCTATGTGGTAAATATATTGTTCACAAATAATTTTTAATAGGGTGTCTGTGAGGAGATGACCTATGAAGAAATCCAGGAACACTACCCTGAAGAATTTGCACTACGGGATCAGGATAAATATCGTTACCGCTATCCCAAGGGAGAGGTAAAGTTGAAGGGGTGGCCGAACTCCTAGGACTCTTCTGTATCTTCATTCCAACTGCCAGAGTTTCCTAAGTAGCTTTAGAAACAAGGCAAAACATGTTTTCAATAGCTGGTACCTGTCAAGGTACTTGATTATCTGATCTTTAGCTGTTAGGCAAGCCATTCCTCTTCTTTTAAAAAATATTTATTTATTTATTCATTCATTCAGTGTGTGCATGCATGCATGCATGCATGCCAAGCCCCACATGCTTATGGAGGTCAGAGAACAACCCATGGAGAACAACCCATGTAACTCTGTTCTCTCCTTCTACCATGTGATCCCAGGGATCAAACTCAGCTCATCAGGTTGAGTGGTAGTTGCTATGACCTACTCCTCTTTTTTAAAAGCTACATATTTGCCTACTTATAGACACTATGTACTTTTAGAAGAACACTCTTTATCCAATGCCTTGTATTTGTCATTTCCTCACTGGACAATTTAAAATAGCTCAATATACTCTAATTCTGTAATATTTTATTGCCAACTTGCCTAAAGTTACAGACTCTCTCAGAAGTTGGCAAGGAACAAAAGCTATTAATTTAATCAACTTCTTGGCTACCATATGAGCCAGGCCATAATTTTTCTGTCTCTATGTGAGATGAATGCTCATTGCTTTCAATCCAGCCTCTACTTAGCCAGTTCTGCATTTTAATGTATTTATTAGTCATACTCTATCTTTGATCCAAAACCCTATGAACAATTATCTGAAAATATGGACATCTAGGAAGATAAAGCAGTAGATGTTATGTTCAGTCACAAATCACTTTAATATTTTCATCTTCATTCTCAGAAGGGACTTTATTAAGTTAATGTTAATTTGCTCTCCTTTACTTTATATTTATTTTAGGCTGTGTTATTAGATGCATACAAATTAAAAGCAATGTTGTCTTCTCACTGAATTATGCATATTTTAGTGAGAATGACTTAACTTTTTTCCTTAATAATGCCATTTACCTAACCCAAATCTAGCTGTACATGGTATCTTCTAACCTTTTTCTTAGTTCATCTTTATTTATTCACTTTCAACTTTTTTGGGTACTTTTGTTTTATTTATGTCTCTTATAAGCAGTTTATAGTTGGATTTTGTTGTTTTTAATTCAAACTGAAAGATGTATTTTGAATGCTAATCCTGCTATATATATTTTATTGCTATTACTGACTTTTTAACATTTATTTCTATTGTCTTTAACTTTCTATGCTTACTTTATTTTTCTCTTGCTTTCCTTAGGGTTGAGTTTTTCATCAATATGTGTTATAATCTGTTTCCAGATTCTTGTGGAGGTTACGCTTTACTTTAAAAATTCATCATGGTTCTTTCTGTTTTTGAAGATATCCCACTAAGGGTATGAGGTCAAAATATTGTACTTTAAAATCACTCAGAATAATTTGTTGTGTATTGTTATACAATCAACTTGAACTTTAACATTTTATATTTCTTTTTTAATTATTTTTTTCATATAATATATTTTTATTATGTTTCCCCTCCAAGATCCTCCACTTGCCCAACTTTATGTTGCTCTCTCTCTCTCTCTCTCTCTCTCTCTCTCTCTCTCTCTCTTTCTCTCTGTCTCTCTCTCTCTCTCTGTCTCTCTCTCTCTCTTTCTCTTTCAGAAAAATCCACAAAACACAAAGATGAAAATTAAAACAAACAAAAAACCAGTAAGACAGAAAGTGCCAAAACAAAACAGAATACTCACAAAAACAAAATAAAACATGTAGTTAATTTTGCATTGGCCAACTACTCTTGGGCATAGGGTCTGGTCTGAAGTGTGTTTGATATACTAGTGACTATACATTGGAGAAAATTCATTTTCCCTTTGCCAGCAGGTGTCAGTTGCAGATAGCTTCTTAGTTAGGGGTGGGACCCCATGTCTACTTCCCGCTCTCGGTGCTGAAACCCTGACTACTTGAATCTATGTAGGCCTTGTGCATGCTACCATAGATTCATATGTGTATCAGTCTTATTGTGTCTGGGAGACACTGTTTTTTGGAAGTCATCTATCACCTCTGACTCTTACAATCTCTCTGACCCCTCTTTAATATAAGATCCCTTAGCCTTGAAGGGAGGGGTTTAATAAAGATATACCATTGATGACTGAGTGTTCCAAAGTCTTTCAACCCCACACAATGTCTAGTTATGGGTCTGTGTTTACATCCATCTACTACAAGAAGAAATTTCTCTGATGAGAGTTGAGTGAGGCACTAGTCTACGGGTGTAGCAATATGTCACTAGTAGTCATTTTATAGTTATGCTCCTTCAACAGAATAATAGTACTAGATTTTCCCATAGGCCAATGACATTATCTAGTCACAGGTTCTTGGACACTTTAGCAGTGTCAGGTATAGGTTCCATCTCATAGAATTAACCTTAAATCCAATCAAAAAGTGGTTTGTTATTCCCATAAGGTTTGTGCCATCATTGCACTAGTATATCTTGCAGGCAGGTCAATGTTACAAGTCACAGGTTTTGTAGCTGGGTGATATTGATGGTCACCCTTTCTCCTCTGGTAGTGTGCAGAGTACCTTCCAGCACCATTAATGCTAGTCAGTAGGGGTAAAGCTTACTTGAACACCAACTGAACTTATCTACGTCCGATGACATAGTAAGTTGTGTCTTCAGAAATAGAGCCTTACTATCAAATTGCAGAGAAAAACCAATAGCCTGCAATGTTTTGCAGGATTCTGTGGGACCCCTTTGGTCAGTGATTCAACAGATGTAACCCATTCATGGGACTGGAGTTTTTACTTGATAACATAAGATGTTTAAATGGGACACTGTCTCCCTTATTATATGGTGATTCTGTTTAAATTCCTTTCATGTATCTGTATATTTTAGGAAGCTTTTACAGTAAAAAGGTTTCTATGTGGTTTTTCAAAAGACCTTTAGAGTTAGTTATCCCTTACCATACATATTCCCTCCTTTACCCTGCTCTCCTATACCCCTTCCCAAGGAAGAAGAAATAAAATACAGTGTTATGGAAATACAAATGTGAAGCTAGAATAAGAACATTTAGTACTTTAATATACATGACTAACAGGTCTAAAAATCAATGTCTCTGCTATGCCCCTAAATAGTATAAGATCTTTCAAACTGCAGTTGCTTCCTCTCCTAACTTACATGTTTTATATTTTCACATAGCCTTAATCTCTTAACTCCCAAATGAACTATTACTGGCGTTGTTGTTATTGTTACATTTAGTCATTTAATTAAATGTTTACTGATCCTTTGATTATTCTTGTTTCTATCTCAAGTTTCATTTTTTCATCTTGTTGTACAGTTTCTCTAATGAAAATCTGTCATTAGTACTTTCACCTTTCCTTTTATCTAAAACTATCTTTGGGGGGGGGTGCATCCTCAATCCTCGATGATAATTGGTTGCATACAAAACTCTCAGTTGGACTGTCATTTTCTTAGCACTTTAAAGCTATTTCTCTTATTGTTTTATTGTTTCACTGTGGTTAAGGAATTTTTTTTCAGTTTCATTATTGTTTCTTTGGTCATTGGTTAAGTGAGAAGCTTTTATATCTTTGTTGCCTTTAAGCTTAACTCGCCTATATCTAGATATTACTTGATTTCCCCTCCCACCCCTCCTTCCCTCTCTGCCCTTCATCTCTTTCCCCTCCTCTCCTTTTGTCTCGTCTCCTCTCCTTTCTCCCCTTTTCTTCTTCCCTCCTCTCCACTCTTCCCTCTACGTCTCTCTATTTCTTTAGTCCCCTTTTTTTCTTTCCACTCTCTTCCCCTCTCTTCAACATTCCTCCACTTTTCCCTCCCCTTCCTTCCTTCCTTCCTTTCTTTCTTTCTTTCTTCCTTTCTTTCTTTCTTTTTTCTTTCTTTCTTCCCTTCTCTTCCCTCCCTTCTCCTCCCCTCTCTTCCCTTCCCTTCCTTCTTTCTTTTTCTTTCTACATGTTCTTTATGCCATCAGCCTTTTAAAATAATTGTTACAGGAAGCTTTTCATGTTTTTCCATCAGAATCAGAGGGACAGATATATTTTCTTACTGTTTCCCTTTTTCCTGTGGATTGACTTTTTCTATTTTAAACTTTGACTTAGGGTGTAAAGATTTGTTCTCTGAGAGTCTCAGATTCCCAGCTTAACTCCTATTTCTATAAGGTTTCTGAAATATCAGCTTCTTGGTTAATGAGATTGCCAAATGTCCTAGTCTAGTTGTGGCATCTACACCCAATTTTTAAAAAAACTTTTTATTTTGGAATACTACAGGTCAGAATTTTCCTTATTTTTTTGAAATTTCAGATGTACATTTAAGTATATACTTTATAGTGGGGGTTATAGTGTTGTCTTTCATCCCACACTTATTGATTGGTTCATTTAGCAGTTGAGAAACTAAAACCCCAAGAAACAAGTGATTTGCCTTAGTCATTCTGTTGGGTCAACAATTCAACTGGCTCCCAAACCAAGTTTTCTTCTCTGGGTAAATGTGCTTCACCCCCATCCCCACTTCTTACCAAGTATTTGTCTTTTGTTCAGTCCTATGAGGATCTGGTTCAGCGTCTTGAGCCAGTTATAATGGAGCTAGAACGACAAGAAAATGTACTGGTAATCTGTCACCAGGCTGTCATGCGGTGCCTCCTGGCATACTTCCTGGATAAAAGTTCAGGTAACACACCCCTCCCGCTCTATTCCTGGTGTAAAGAGCTGGATGTGATTTGGGATGCTGATGTCAGCAATTAGAAGTTTATATCTTAGTGGTTAAAAGTACAATATTTAAAACAAGGATATCTAGGCTCAAATTTGTTTCATGTGTCTGTGCTACCTTCAGTAAGTACTGTTAGCTCCCCTCAGCCTGTTTTCTCAACTATAAAATGGTGAGAATTAATGGTAAGGTTGAAATAAACATGTTAAAAATCCTAGAACAGATGATGCATTTATGGATTATGTTGCCATTATTAGTATTCTCTTAACTAATCTGTAGAATCTGCATATTGAAAGCCATCATAAATAGTCTGCCACAGCTTCACATACTGAGACAGTATATCTCTGAAGCATTCTGACCTCAGTTGATGTGATACCTGCGCTCTTGCTATCGGAATAATTTCTCCAAGATAGCAATGTCTATAATTTAAGTTTTTTCAAGTTATAATTTATCTTTAAAAACATCTGCATTCTGTATTTATGAAAGTATGTATGCACAGACTTATATACTGCCATACATATATATAAACAGACTACTTATGCTATGCTGTCATTCATATTTATACATGCTTCAAATGTATATATATACTTAATATATACATATATATATTAAAACTTCCTATATTGCCATATATATATACAGAGAGATTGTATATATATACAATCATGCATATATATAGACTACATATGCTGCCATACATATGTATACATAGAATTTATATACTGCCATATGCATGTATACAAAGTACATATATGCTACATCTACTTCTCAGGTGGCCTGGCACTACCTTCATACGACAATCCATTTCTAATGTGGATGCTGAAATGTTGACATTTCCAGGATATTTTGAAGCTGTTTGGAAGCAATGCTAAATACTATTTAATGCCTGTAGTGTCCCAAACTCTTGATTCAATTCTGTATGCTAATTTCAAAATAAAAAAATATATAAAATATGGAATAATTCAAGATTGAAATCTAGGGAACTTGCGAGCTTGACATTGGATAAGTCATATTCTCTATCTGATCTTCAATATCCTCATTTGAAAATGTCCCCACTTGAAATAGGTGATGGACTATGTGATGGAGGTCTTTTCAGTCTTAGAATTTTGAGATTGTGGGGCAGGAACTATTCCCATTGCTCAGATAAGAAAACCAAGGTTTAGAGCAGTGAAATAATTTGCCCAAATTCATGGGATAGGAGTTAATCCCAGATGTCTGTCAGAGGTTTTCTCCTCTCAAATATACACAGGGGCCTTGTAGTTACTTCCTAACATCTCCATTTCTTACCATCTTTTATACACAGACCATTCTAGCTGCTCACAACTTCCCCCGGGAGCAAGATTATTCAGGGCTAGACAGATAGTTTTACCCTTAGTATTCAGGAGAGTGATGAAAGCATGCCCAGAGAAATTACATGAGGTAGAATGCATACCGACAGAACTGCAGGGCTAGGGCACCTGTAGTTTGTAGCTAATCTAACTTGTTCTGTAAAATGGGGACACTGAGGGCCAGAGAGAGAAGAAACAGTGGCAGAGCTAGGTCAGAGACTGTAGGCAAGTTACTTCTGTTCTCCAGCCCTGTTTCTTCATATGAAAAGTGGCAGTGGACAGGACCCAGGGCATCAATGAGGGTATAGTGTGGTCATACATACAAAAAAGTCATTGACCCAGAACTTAATTATAATGTTTAACAGTGGGGAGGAATGGAATGAATTTCCAGGAAAATGCCCCATCTTGATATATGTCAGGAGGTTGGGAGGATGGTAGCATGCCTTCAAAGCCTATAATTAACCTAAGGGACAAGAAGTCATTACAAGTGATGGTGTTCCAGCTAAATAAGGGAAGTAAGGATATGTAGTGCAGCCTGGAGAGTGATGAGGTGGATATCAAGATAAAGTGCCCCAAAAAGTGTGCATCCCAGTACTCTGTGAGTCCCTCCATGGTGGTACCTACAAACTGCAAGGGCAGAATAGGTATCTTGTCTTCAGAGTACCCTAAGTTTGAGGCTCTAAGCTTCCACTTCCTAGCCATGGTACATTTCCCCTTGAAGCCCATTTCTTTATCTATAAAATGAGCTAGATTGTTCTTCCTTTCCATCTGTCTGAAAAGTAGAAACACTGGTCTTGACAGGAAATTGTACATAAACGTTCAGAGTCACTTCCTGCATAATCATCAATAACAGGAAGCCAGTGAATCAATCAGTTCTTGTCATAAAGAAGTTGTAAGAATCACACACACACGGAGACAGACAGATGGTAGGTGGGGGGTTGCTGCCTGATCTGGAAGAAAGAGTGTAGTAGACAAATACCACATGTGCCTCTGCCATGGAAGTAGTATTTAGGAAAGTTAGGGGTGCGGGTGTAGGGTCTGTGTAAAGTTGACCTGGGCAGGAGGAAGGCTTTCTTTTTCCTGCTCATTCTGAGTAAAGAATTGAGACCTCTAGGTGGGTACCTAGCCCTCCCATGGGACTCACACTCTGTCCACTTTCCCAAGACTGTCTTGCTACTGTTTCCAGGCAACTAGGTTGCTTTCTTTTGCCCTAATTAGCTTGCTCTTGTGGCTACCCACCATATAGAATCCCAGCTGTAAGTCTGTGCTGGGACCCAAGTGGAAAGCTGAGATAGAAGTAGGAGCACCCAGCAAGCCTGCATGTTGTCCTCTGCTCAGTACTGCATCTCTCAGGGCTGCTGCTTCCTCCTTTCCAGATGAGCTGCCCTATCTCAAGTGTCCTCTGCACACAGTGCTCAAACTCACACCTGTGGCTTATGGTAAGTAGATCCACTTTCATTTAAGGAAAGGCACATAGAAGTCAGGGGTATGCCTCCAGTGTCTACCAGGAGCTCTAGGAGGCTCCTGGGTGAAGTCCCTAGGTGGCTGGCAGGATGTCCTGGTAGAGGTGCAGCTGGTGACAGTAGGCTAAGAGGAAAAAAACTAAGCTAGCATCCAAATCTAGAGCCTGGCTCTGTCTGTCTCTGCCTGGGCAGTGAGTACAGAACATTGTTCTATTTGTATTGAGCAGAATACCCAACAGATACCTTAGGAAAATTATACATTGGGGACATATTAAAGAATGGGGGCATTAGTTACTTATGAAAGGTTCATAAGGTTCATAAGCAGGGAAAGTATAGAATCAAATGTAGTCCAGGGTGTGAACAGGATAAAAGAACCAACTGGAATCTGTGATATGATAGCCTACAGGAATGGTGCTGAAGGGGCTACTATTGAACACCGGAGCTCCTGTTAGCCCCAGGTCCTTCTTCTTCAGGCTCCCTAGAACTTTCCAGTAATCACACCTCTAGTATTGCTAGAGGTATCTTCTGAATAAACCTTGCCTAGGTTTGAGTACCCGGAACAATAGCCTAGGACTCTTCCACTTAGCATGGCTTGGAGTACCCTCAGCCCTCTGTCAATCATATATAGATTAGACTACTGTCTTATCGGTCACAAAGATCATCTCCTCTCATTTCTTTCACCATATACAACCAAGCAATTGAAACTGAGCAAATAGACACTCTGGGAAGATGACTGTTGACTTTAGGGCTTTTGGGCCTGGAATCTTTCCCGCACATCCTACAGCTCCCCTGCCTTCAGGAGAGGTATAATCTAGAATAGTGATTCTCAACCTTTCTCATGTTGTGGTGACTCAACCATAAATTTATTTTCATTGCTACTTCTTAATTGTAATTTTGCTACTATTATGAATCATAGTGTAAATATCTGATATTCAGGATACTGATATGCAACCCCCCAAAGGATCATGACCTCTAGGTTGAGAACTGCTGATCTGAAGAGTATGGACCTGGGGTATGGGTAGTGATGGTGGGAAAGGGGAAATAATATCTTAGGGAAGACCTAGGCTTATCCCGAGTGCTTGTAGACATATGAGTTATTTTTTTCTGAGGCTGCAGAATAGAGTCCATCTACCTGAATGTGGAGGCTGTGAACACACACCGGGACAAGCCTGAGGTAGGTGGGGTGCTCTGTATCCAAGCTGCCTTTAACGTGGTATATTCTGAAAGTACCCTCGCATATGAAAGGGCTGGCTCCAGCCCCAGACATCCCAGGAGTTTCAAATCAACCAGCACTCAGAAATGGCAAAAACCATAGTCCAGGCCCATAGAGACTCAGGGATGTGACAATTCCTGCTAAAACAGGCCTCTGACTGATTCCCCAGGCATGCCTAAGAAGACAACCAGGACCCCTGCCTTCCTCAAAGAGGGATGTCTGGCAGTGAGGTCAAGAGGCAGGGAAGAACTGGGATCCTATACTTCCTACTAACCCTGGGCTCTCTCCTTAGAATGTGGACATCACCCGTGAACCTGAGGAAGCCCTGGACACTGTCCCTGCCCATTACTGAGCCCTTTCCAAGTGATCAGATTGCCTCTGTCCTCATTGATTTTCTCCTGTAGGAACTGCTGCCCTTGTTCTCCCTAAGCAGACTCTGGCTTTGGCCTGAGAGTGCCCTACCTCCAGTGAAGAAGTCCATAGCAGCTCCCAAACAGGTCTCAGTTCCTAGCTCAAACTAAGGAACCTACTTATTCATCGATAAAGCTCTTTTAAAATAACTATTTCCTGATCAATAAAGACATGTATTCCTGCCTATAGGACAGGAAGATACTATAAGGCTTCTCCCATTGTTCTCAAGATCTTGGTTCTGACCCAACTCTGGTGCTGTTGAAGAATGGGTGAGGACATCTGAGATCGAAGAGTCCTGGGGTAGCACTCTCAAACATGGACAAGATAGGTCCTGTGAGTTCCTGTTAGTTTTGTTCCTTGGTAGTCAAGGTACATGAGGACAGGATGTATTCATTGTTATACTCAAGAAGAATTCAGTACCTGGGCTAAAAGCTTCAGTCTCCAACTCTTGCTACTGTCCTGAGTAATTAATTTCATTGCCTATGTTAATGATACCATCAATACCCTCCCTCCCAGGGATGTGACTCCCTCAACTTAGTGATTATCTGTTTTCATTTGTGGCATCCTCTCTCTGGGCTAACTTATTGACTAGAAGCTTACCGTTCATTCAAGTCTATAAAATTTTATCATCCGTGAGACTTGAGCAGTATGCCTCTACACCACAGGCATTCATGTAGTATTTCCTAAATGAACAATATCTGCCCTTGTTCATCAGTATGTTCCTTTTGAGGCCTCTATTTTCTCCTAGTTCTTTAGTTCTCAATATTCTTCTATCTCTAACCAACTTGGACCTACCTCTTCAGGCACAATGCATACACTAACCATTGTGAGCCAGGTGCTAGTGTCCATGTGATAAAGAGACTCATAACTTTGCTGCTTTGTTTCCTAGTCCTTTCAGCACAACCACCCAGTTAGATCCAAGCCTTGAATCATCCATACCTTTTTTCTGGGATCTACTAGGGTTGGAGATCACTGCTTGAAACAGATCTATTTTTCTACTTCCACAGCTACCCTTGAATCCTGTTCAAAGTCAGGGTCACCCTGTATTTTCTGGCACCTTGTCCCTTTCCACTGTCTCATACTACTTCAGTCAATTCCAGACTCTTTCATATCAATCCTCTACCTCTCATTTGACTTTGGTCCTACAGTCCATACTTATTTTTCTTTCCTATCCCAAGAGAATGTCCTCTTGCTCCCATGTCAACTCCTAGTTCCTTTCCTTCTTATCCCTCTATTCTTACACAGTTGCCCCAAGTTAGTGTGAATTTACTATCCACAGCTCTTTCTGTTTGCATTCTATCTTAGGCTTCCCCCTTTCATATCTGCTCAAGCACACTTTCCCAGAGCTCTCCGACCCTTAGAAATATCTGCTTTTTAGCTGGATCCCTACAGTCCCCAAAAAGCTAAGCTTAACTCTAGTTGTTCTACAAACCCCAGACATCGCATCTAGCCATATTAAAAGATGGAATAAACTCAGATTCCTTTGGCAAATTTAATGTAACTCTGATACCAAAATATGACAACAACACAAGAAGCAAACACAAAGCAGGAACAGCAGATTTTTCTTAGTGTTTCACTCAGCTAATGGGTAGTAGCTGCTTAGGCTGCTGTGTGGACAAAGATTCCAAAGCTGCACATTGGCTCCATGGGAAGTACTGCTGCGTTAGTGTTACCTGCAAACATGGGTAACAAACGTAACAAACCTGAAAAACAAACAAAGCAAAATGCCCAGAAACACATGTTAGCACAAAACCCATTTCCTTTTATTTCCTTTCTTCTCACTTGGCCCTCCTAGCTTAGGGTTTCTTCTAGTATTTCCCAACTATTATAGCTATCCCCACAGATCCTAGCTATGGGCATATTGCAGTTACCTGAAACTTCACTAGCCGTAAGAGAAGCCACAGGCACCGAGGTTATTGGCTCCACCACCAAAGCCAGTACCAGTGCTTGGTCCACCGCTGAATCCAGCACTGGTGTTCAGTCCACCACCGAAGCCAGCACTGGTGCTCAGTCCACCACCGAAGCCAGTACTGGTGCTCAGTCCACCACCAAAGCCAGCTGCAGTGCTTGGTCCTCCGAAGCCACCTCCAGTGCTTGGTCCGCCAAAGCCAGCTCCTGTACTTGGTCCACCACCAAAGCCACCAGTGCTTGGTGCATTGCAGAAGCCAGCACCAGTGCTTGGTCCACCACTAAAGCCAACAATAGAACTGGGTCCATTACTGAAGCTGGAGCCGGTGCTGGTTTCACCAGTAAAGCCACTGCTGGTGTTGGAATCACTGCCAAAGCCAATGATGGTATTCAGTCCTCTGTCGAAGCTGGCATTAGGCCCACTGCCAAAGCCATTGCCAGTGCTGAGGCTTACACCAAAGCCTGCACCAGTGCCAAGTGTGCCGCCAAAACCATTATTGGTACTCAGGTCACCAGCAAAGCCATCATTAGTGACCAGTCCACCACCAAAGCCAGTGTTGCTGCCAAGTCCATCACCAAAACCAGCACTAGTGCCCAGTCCACCACCAAAATCAGTGCTAGTGTTTAGTCCACCATTGAAGCCAGCACTGGTACCCAGTCCCCCACTGAAGTCAGCATTAGAACTTAGTCCACCACCAAAATCATTGCTGGTGCCTAGTCCACCACCAAAGCCAGTGCTGGTGCCCAGGCCACCATTGAAGCTAGCACTGGGGCCTAAGCTTCCACCAAAGCCAGTGCTGGTACCTAGGCTGCTGCCAAAGCCAGCACTGGTGCCCAATCCATTTCCAAAGCCAGCACTGGTACTTAGCCCATTCCCGAAACTGAAAATGGCACTGGTGCTGTTGCCCTCACTGTAATTGGCACTGGTAGCACCACTAAAGCAGGAGTTGGTGCTGGAAGAGCCTCCAAAGCACAGGTTGGTGTTAGATGCACTGCCAAAACAGAGACTGGTGCTAGGTGCTCCACCAAAACAGAGGTTAGTATTGTGAGAACCACCAAAGCTGACACTGGTAGTGGGAGCACTACCAAAGCTAATGCTGTTGCTATGGGTACTACCAAAGTCAGTGGTACTAAGTGCCCCACCAAAGCCAACACTGGTACTGAATGCACCACCAAAGTCAGGGTTGGTGCTGATTGCACCGCCAAAGCTGGCACTGGTGCTGATGGCACTACCAAAGCCAGCACTGTTACTAAGAGCACCACCAAAGCTGGCACTAGTACTGATGGCACCACCAAAGCCAGCACTATTACTGAGCGCACTATCAAAGCTGGCACTGGTACTGATGGCACCGCCAAAGCCAGCACTGTTATTGAGTGCACCACCAAAGCTGGCACTGGTACTTATGGCACCGCCAAAGCCAGCACTGTTACTGAGTGCACCATCAAAGCTGGCACTGGTACTGATAGCACTGCCAAAGCCAGTACTGCCACTGAGTGCACCACTAAAGCTGGCACTGGTGCTGATGGCACTGCCAAAGTCAGCATTACTATTAAGTGCATTACCAAAGCTGGCACTGGTGCTGATGGCACCGCCAAAGCCAGAACTGCCATTGAGTACACTACCAAAGCTGGCACTGGTGCTGAGTGCACTGCCAAAGCCAGAACTGGTGCTAATGGCACCACCAAAGCTGGCACTGCTGTTGAGTGCACTGCCAAAGCCGGTGCTTGTGTTGATGGCACCACCAAAGCTGGCACTGCTATTGAGTGCACCACCAAAGCCAGTACTTATGGCACCACCAAAGCTGGCACTGCTGTTGAGTGCATTGCCAAAGCCAGCACTGGTGCTGATGGCACCACCAAAGCTGGTACTGCTGTTGAGTGTACCGCCAAAGCCAGCACTGGTGCCAGAAGAGCCACCAAAGCTGACGCTAGTGCTTAATGTGCCACCAAAGTCAGAGCTGGTGCTAGAAGAAGCACCAAAGGAAACACTGGTGCTGAGTGTACCACCAAAACCAGTATTGGTGCTAGGAGAACTACCAAAGCAGATACTGGTACTGAGTGTGCCTCCGAAGCCGACACCAGAGCAGGGGGAGCTACCAAAGCAGACACTGGTGCTAAGTGTGCCTCCAAAGCCAGTAGTGGTGCTAACTGCACCACTGAAGACAGTGCTTGTGGTAGGTACACTGCCAAAGCTGGTGCTTGTGCTGAGTGCACCACTAAAGCCAGCTGTAGTACTAAGTGTGCCTCCAAAGCCACAGCTGGCTCCACCATTGAAACTGGCACTTGTACAAGGTGCACCACCAAAACTAATACTGGCTCCACCACTGAAACTGGTACTGGTGGTAGGAGAACCACCAAAGCTAATGCTGGATCCACTGCTGAAACTACTGCTAATGCTGGGCGCACCACCAAAGCTAATGCTGGCGGTGCTGCTGAAACTAGTGTTAGTACTGGGCGTACCACCAAAGCTAATGCTGGCAGTGCTGCTGAAACTAGTGCTAGTGTTGGGTGCACCTCCAAAGCTAATGCTGGCTCCACTGCTGAAGCTAGTGCTGGTACTAGATGCACCACCAAAGCTAATGCTTGCTGTGTTACAGAAAGTGGCACTAGTACTGGGTGTACCACTGAAGGTAATGCTGGCTCCACCACTGAAACTAGTGCTAGTGATAGATGTGTCACCAAAGCTAATGCTTGCTGCACTGCTGAAGTTGGCAGAGGTATTGGGTACACTACCAAAGGTAATGCCATTTCTGCCACCAAAGCCACCATTAGAGTTGGGTATGCCGCCAAAGCCACCATTAGAGTTGGGTATGCCTCCAAAGCCACCACTGGGGTTGGTTATACCACCAAAGCCACCACTGGGGTTGGTTATACCACCAAAGCTAATACTAGCACCATCACTGAAGCTATTTCTAGTACTAGCTCCTTGGTTGAAGTTGACATTGTTGGTAGGATCTGCATTTTCTTGGGCTCTGGAATCAATTTCAAAGGAAAATCTGCTCCAGGCTTGAGCATCATCACCCAACTCTTCCCTTGTTAAGCAGTCAATATCCATGTCATCCCAATTCCAGGGCCCAGCCACAGCTTCCTCGCCAATCCCCATTTGGGCTCTTGCCTCAGCCCTGGCTTCAGCCTCAGCCACAGCCACAGCTGCAGCCTGAACGTCCATCTCTACTGCCTCCCGGTACTGAGCAGCCCAGTCTTTAGGATCTTTCTTCTGTACCTAAAATGGAAATTATAATTACTAGAAGAAAAATAGCCCTTATACTTATGTGTGAAGTACCCACTATGGGATCCACACAGAACTAATAGTGGTAAATAAAAAAAGACATCTTTCTAGAGTTCTAATGAGTAAGTCTTGATATCAAACTTCAGCCCAGATAACTGAGGCATACAAGTTATGTCCTTAGACAAGTTACTTTATATCACTGAACCTAAATATCCCCATTTGTAATATGGGAAAGTACAAGAGACCAAGTATGTTATGGGCTGAGTGTATTTCCCCAGAATTCTTATGTTGAATACGCAACCCCTAATCATTACTATATTTTCAGATAGGGTTTTTTATGGGTATACCTTAAATGAGTAAGGCCTTGATCAAATAGGACTGACATGAAAATGAACTCAAGCTTGTTCTATGTAATGTGAAGACTCAGAAAAAGCCTCTATAAGTCAGAAAGACCTGCACCACAAACTGTACTAGATGTTGATCTAGGGATCTTATCTCCAGAACTGTGAGTATATCGATTTCTGTATCTTAAGACCTCCAGCTATTAATAATATTTTATAATGGCAGTCTAAACTGACTGATAGAATGTAAAACTTAACTAGACAAAGTTGTATGTCTTGCAATATATATCTGGGACATTATTGAGGCTTTATATTTTTATATACAAACCATATGTTGTCCCATACCTGTCTATCACTACACACAGCCTGCCTCAGCATGGAGCATCCTATTCCCTTAATGTACCAAGATCAGGAAGTTCATTACCTTGCATGCAAATTTCAGGACTTTCATCTTGCTAGTCTCGTGGTAAGACCGCAGGCCCCAGAAGAATTCATATTCAGGTGGTCTGCTGTTGGGGACCCTCTTGTATTCCAGATACCTTGGAGAAAAGAAAATGAAACTTGCTTCTAAACAAGCAAAAGTACTGTTTAACCACTAGGCCTCAGATGAAGGAATTTTCTCTCAACAAACACCTGGAGTCCAGACCCAGACTCATTCCCATACAAACATGGTTCCATACAAAGCCATAGTGATACATATACAGGACATGAAACCACAGAAAACAGATGTGTTTTGTCTCCTATAAAGACTAACCCCAGATTCCATTTGGGTGTACTGTTAATAGATTGACCATTTTTGGGCCCCTGCTATGAGTACATCTGACTGCAAGGGTCCTAATGGGGCTTGGCCACAAGAATTGTAGATAGGACTTGGGTCTAGGTCACAGAATGCCTATCTATCTACAAAGAGTTAAGAAAAGTACAATGTATTTTTTTAACCAGATAACCACACCCAGAGCACTTCAGAGCTACACAAAGCCTTGAACACTACTTACTTCTG